TATATGATATGGGTTAAAATTATTTTCTTTTTTTATGTCTGTCATTTCTCGAGGCTTTTTAAAGAGGCCTGTACAATAGCCAGTGGTTTGGTGCTGAGAGCGAGTACTAGTGAAGGGCCAGAGGAGAACAAAGAACCCTCCACCAATTTGATTATAATATCACACCTATTCAGAGAGTTAATGTGGTGTCTCAGATGTCATGCGGCTCTTCTCTCTCCCTGATTCTGTCCTCTCCCTTTCCTCACTTATCCCCTCGCCATTCCTCCCTCTCTCACTCTCATCCTCTTCTTTCTCTCCGCTTTGTGCTGGGGATCAGCCCTCACTCGAGGGGCTTTGATGAAATCCTTTCAAGGCGGAAAGTGACGGTCATTCTCAGATCAGATGTCTCTGAAACAAGGCCCGTCGTATCATTCGCTACGCTCGACTTCATTAGCCCTTTGTTCGGGTTTCACGTCAGCTTTCACAAACACAATCGCTCTGTAATATCACTTGTTGCTTCTTGGATTTTCTCCCACTTACGTTTTGACAAAGAAAAAAGATCCTGTTCGTTGGAAAGAAAGCAGCTTTGTTCTTCATCTGGACACAGATTTCTGTCAATCATCAGTTGGTCAAAGATCATGTTTGGTCCAGTCTGAAATAACTCACCTGACAAGGAATTTTGTAGAATCATGGTTGCCAGAGGATGAATCGAACTTGCTTTTGTGGTTCCCTCTTGTTTTCCACATCACCATGATAAAGTTGACACTCCTACTAATTGGATCGTCGTTGATTATTCCTTATCTTTTAATCTACTGCCATCATCAGGTCACTTTTTATGAATTTTTTTGACCCTTAGCTTTTCCTTTTCATAGTTCATAGATCGTATATAAGCATCTCAATTGCCCCCTGGTGGCTGGCTGGCTGGCTGCAAAAAAAAAGCCTCCTCCATGTTAGTGGGTGGGATAAACTAAAACCTCACTACTCCTGCTCCATTCCCTGATACTTTCAGTTAATTTCTGGATCGTCTGCCATCTTTTTACACAGTCCGTGGTGCTACTCAACAAATGCTAACATGGTCATTTATGCCTGCTAAACATCAGCATGTTTGTTTTGGGATGAGTTGAAGTTAAAACCAACGACAATTTAAAAGCTTTATCATAAAATAAAACTTAAACTGCATCGAAGAGTCACTTTCTGTTGATTTCTGGCAGAGTTCCTGGTGGGTGCCTTTTTTTGCTGCCATTTATTCGTCTACTAAATCCTACAGGAGAGGTGTCCAACAAGTAGCTCCTTCCATGCACTCTAACAGCTTTACTGCTTACAAAGTTTTAATCAAGCGTTCCCAGGCAAATTAATGAGGAGCTGAGAAATGAAGAGGCTGAGTGACTCAATCAACACTGTGCCAGTCGAAGTTTTCTGACACCTGGAGGGAAAAAATCCCTGTTGCTGCAACTCGAGCCCACAGTGAACGTGAACATCTTTTCTTGGCCGGGTACTGCCAGGGAGTTTATAATTGAGTTGAGACTCACGAAATACTCATTAAGACGTTGTCACTCACCAGAGGAGGCTACGCTTCTCTGGTGACTGCAGGTATCCCCGAGCCCTGCTCTTCTCCAGCTGAAGAGCAAAAGTGTGTGTGTGCGTGTGTCTCAGAGTCTGCATATGCCTGCATTCATGTGTGATTGTGTGCATTGCTTTAATAAACTCACAGGTCCATGCAGCACCATCTGCCTGGGCGGTGCTTGATGGAGCAGGAGCTGGTTGTGAGGGACACCCCTGCCACCCACTATGTGTGACAAACAATTGATAGAAACACCTGTTTATTGTCTCGCTCTTTCCACAACCTCCCCTGAAGCAGATGCTTGAATGACAGGAGTTTACAAGAGGAAGTGGCAAGAGCCTGTAGCCTGATCATTTTCACTGGATAGAGAATCACCTGTAAATAAAAAGCAGAATTTACATATTTTACTGGATGTAGTTAATTTCACCTGAGAGGGATTTTTACATTTAAACACACTCACATATTTTACATCTCACACTCTACAGTTGATCATCACATTGTTTAATTAGTTTGATACACACAAGATGTTGACCCTCAGCACATCACGTTGCTCCTGACCTCAGTGTCATTCCAGTGAATAGTCTTTCACTCTGTGTGAGTTCTAGTTGACATGATAATTAAAACGATCCTCAAGGTGTCTGATCATTGATCGTTTGATCTCCCCTCTCCTGCCTCTGATGAAATTGATTAGAGCACTATCTATGATGAGAACAGGCAAATGAAGAACACACACACACACACACACACAGAGACAACTGCCAGAGGATTTGTGGACATCATGAGGTGATACTGGGTCATCAGTCTCTGTCAGTAAACAGTATTATCAACAACAAAGCGGCAGAGAAAATGATGGTTAACAGACCGGTGGGTTAAGCTGGGACAGAGTGAGTGTAGTAAAGTGAGAGACTGTTTATCAAGATGGATAAAGTGTCCCCACTTCATCCCCTTGTACAGAAATGAAGCTAAAACACGGGCGCGGCCATCTTGCGCTTTTGACATCACTGTTGAGCCGCTGTGTCAAAGTCTCATCGATACACATGCTTCCCTAATCCTGAGTCATTCAGATGAGACTGACCTATGATTGGTGGAGCTTGTGTATCTTAGCTTTGTGTATCAACACAGTGGCTCTTCATGTGCCGACTCAAGCAAATGATGTCATCAATGCAAAATGGCAGAATTTGTATTCAGGATATTTTGGCTTAATTTCTGGGGAGTTGGGAGATCGTACATCTTTACATAAAGTCTATGAGAGCTACGTGAAATGATAGAAACCATCATTTAGAAAAATATATTTAACGTATGTACCCTGAAGAAATAGATGGATAGATAAACTTTATTGTCCATCTCAAAGTAACAGAAATCCTCCTTTTGACAGGGCTCATTATGCACATGCTTCACATATGAAAACACATAGAACATATATAATAACAAGGCTCAACATTACACACATAATTCACATACAGTATAAAAAGACGATTTATTTTTAAAACACATAAAACACATTTTAACCAAACTCGAGTAGACACATAGGAAGGGACTGTTAAAAACATCCATGTCCCATCTAATAACATGGAGGAGGCAGATTTTATACTGCCCTCGAAAGGTGATCAAGATGATTATGCTTCACTTTTGCTGAACCGTCACATGAGTAAAGCAAAAAGGAAAATGTTCTGAACAAAATAAATGAGCTCCCACGGTTGCCAACTGGGAGTTTATGTATGAAATTGCAAATATTACATCACAATGACTATTTTACTATTGGTAATTGCATCTCTTAAACGGAACCTTGTAATGCTGTAAAATGATATGTGATTGATAAGAAGGAGCCTTAACTGCACCGTGAAACTGGCTGAGCTGAAATATGCTTCCTTATTGGTCAGCTGGCCCATAAATGACCTCCTATCGGCGCTTTAGTAAGTGTGTTCAACAAGGGCGGAATGGAAAAGCCTGTCCTCCCTTTATGGCCTGAAAATCATTGGATTATTGATTTTTATTCGCCTACTTTTTTATTCAAAATGCAGCAAGCATTTTTTTTTTAATGTGTATATTCCACTGGGTTAATGTGCATGTATCTCGCTCCTTTGTGTTTTGTAAACGAGGTCGATAAGACGAGTCTACACGCACTCAGAGGTGAATCTACAATGCAGAAGAGAGCTCCGGCAGCATTTTCCCTGAGACAGATGGATGAAGTTTATTAAGCATGTGACAGCTAACACCCCCAGCAGGGAGAAAACACTGTGGTGGATAAATAAATGTTAGCTTTACCAGCCCCTACCTCCTGTTATTCATATACCAGAATCAACACGACTATTAGGTATGAATTATGGCAACAAATGATTATTGCTGCTATGATCATTATAAATGCCATGCACCCTCTCACTGCATGGAGAAGCCATATTTCTCCAACTGTAAAGACTACAGATGCCAGCTGCCCAGTAAATGGATCACATACCTAATTTGGAGGTTTGCACTCCAGCTACTTTGTAATCAAGAGCAGATCCTTCTCGTTGGCTTGCATGGGAATGTGGAATCATTAGATACAATTTGTGTCGAGCGCACAAAGCGATACGGGTTCATTCTAGGTTTTTATTAAATTTCAAGTCATTCTTACATCTCCAGTATTGAATCAATAACTACAATGCGAAGTGTGAAGATTTTAAAAGCACATTAAAGACGACATTTTTCAAAACCTGGCTGTGATTTTTACAGATTATGTTGAGAAAAATTGAGCTTGGAAACCTTGATCTTCAATGCCCTAAAGCATTGCGGGTGATCTTTGTTTAATCCAACACTGAGCTCTCGTGACTCTTTAAAATGGATGAGCCCAAACCTTGCGTAGTGCTGCATGTTTATACTTTGATCACATGCTGCATAGCTTTAGGGACACATTTCTTTCCGTCTTTACTCCTCTTTCTGTTCTTACTTGTACGAATTTCAATATGTGGATTCTTGACCCTTTCCCTGGAGACGTGGTGAGCGCTCACCGGAGCTTTTAACACTGTGATGCGAGGGTGCAAATCTACAGTGTGATGATTATTTTTAGCTGAATGACTTCCAGCCTGGAGCCGAGAGTCATTAGAGCTTTTCAAGCTTTGTTAAAGGGTCTTACAATAACGTTGCACGTGGTGAGAAGTGTTAGATTTAGCTTTGAGTGGATTAATTCAATCATTCACTCGACTAATCGTTCATCTAAATTGTTATTTTCCACAAAAATAATGTATGAGAGAAGCTACTGTGACCTTGAATTTGACTTATTTTCAAATGATTATACTTGTACTGCTTTTGTGTTAATAATTCTTTTTTCTACATTCATTTCTTGATAGCCCTCCGTTGTAAGTTTTAGCTTCTCCTTTATTCTCCTTGTTTCTCTCTCTCTCTGGTCATTTAAAACACATTTCTATTCTTCATTTTCACCTTCTCACCTTTTTAAACTCTGCATCTGCATGTTCATTCTCTCCAGACGCTGCCGACCACAACATACGAGTTAGAGATCGTGGCTAAGGACATGGCAGGAAGTGAAGTTGGCCTAACGGGAACAGCAACAGCTACAATCACCATCACGGACAAGAACGACCACGCCCCTGAATTCACACATCCGCTGGTGAGAAACAGCACTTTTTTCTCATCTCTATTTCTTTGAGATTTTGTAATTTCTTCTTTTTTGATCGCCATGTTATTCATACAAAAGCTTCTACAGACATTAGGTGGAAAAATTGTGTTTATTTACTCCTCTGTGGAGGTCAGAGGTCAGGGTCATGCATTTGTTTGAAGACTGAGGAAATACCTCTGGTTTTAAAAGAAGGTTTCAAGGTTCTCAGTCTAATTACAGGAATCACTGAGGCATGTGCCGAGCGCTGCCAACCTTTTAGAATCAGTCCTGAGAAATAACATTTTGACGAGCAAAATGTGTGGTGTTTGTTCAGATTGTGGAAAGTTTCTGTTCATTGAAAAAATAACATATAGAAGAGAAAACATCAGACACAATAGAATATGACAACAATAATGACTTTAATAATATCCAGGAGTAATGAAGGCCTGACAAAAACACATCATGCCAAACTCACCAGTCTGCTGCTCTGGGTCTTTCTTTTTGAATTTCTTCTACTTTTTTATTCTTTTGCTGTTTATTTAACTACAATGAGTCTTAACACCTCTGCAGTTGTTTCACACTAAAGCAAACAGGAGGTGTTTGCTTTAGTGTGAAACACGTCAAGAAAGAAGGACCTTTTAATTCTACTTGTATAACACAGATCGAAAGGTGTAAGTAAGACAGTGGTAGTTGGTGTGAATAAGTGAGTCAAGCCTGTTATTGTTAAAGCTGAGACTTGTCTTTGCAGTGGAATTGGTGATGTGGAAATGTACTTTACTTTGTGAATATATTGAGACGTCAGGTAAACATGGAGGTTTTAAGGGCCCATTATCAGCAAACAACACCAAGAGCAAATTAAAAGAGGAGCAAGGTTTTACATGGTAACTAAACAAACTAGAAAACTGGAAGAGGTCTTTGTAAAGTAAGATAAAATGAAAAAAAGTCAAGAAAGCACCATCTCGCAATGTTAAGGACAGATGACATCATTTCCTTGATCCATCCCAAAATGTAATAAGTTCTTTCTTGACACATGTCCCTCTCTGCACCAAGTTTCATGGAAATCCTGGAAAACAAACCAACACACAAAGGTACAGGGGTGGAGAGGGCGGCCCATAGATGGCTGTAGAGCCCCTGCAGATACCACAGGTTCAATTCCGACCTTGTACTTTGGTGCATGTCTTCCCCACTTACCCACAAGGTAAACAAGGTCTGTCTCTATGATTAACCTATTTTCAGGGGCCTAGAGGCCCTTTAGAGTTATGATATCTACATGACTCATGTAGGATTTCAGCTAATCCTACTGTGTACCAACCAAGTAAATATTATTAATAATGTAATAGTCAGACTTCAGTCTATAAACTGTAGTAGTGGCTCGTGCAGAGTAGAAGTTGGTTTGACAAAAATCACTTCACAAAAACACAAATGCCCTTTAAGACAAATCACCCACACCATGCTCATTAGCTCCTCCACTTACCCCCACCCCATTTCATGTACACGTGCGTTCACCGAGACATCAAGCATTTCTCTCCATGTTGGCTAAAGGTAAAGAATTCCAGCAACGATCACTTACATGTGCAAAGACCACATGTGACACGTAAGGAGGCATCATTCAAAATTAAAATTAAATTGAATCAAATCATTGCAAACAGGTGATGTGGGTGCAGAAGCAAGATAAGGGAATGTGAGAGCAGGAGTGGGAGTCGACACGTGAAGGTTTGTTTAATCAGCAGTGCCTTAGGGCATTAGTGAAAAGCTAAACAACAAGTGGCATCTGCCACTCAAGCCGTGAAATAAAATGGACCTGTACCAAAAAGAAATCGACTTACTGGCACCTGCATTATTGCCTGTTTGTGCCACCTCATGATGAATCTTCCTAAAGCTGCGTCTATAGCGTTTTGCTTTTCTCTCTTAATCCCTCCTTCTCATCTCTGGATGTGTGAAAACAGGAAAAGAAGAATAAGTTCCTGCAAAAAACGACACTCCGTACACCTTAAGGTGCAGTTGTAACATTGAGTTGTGTGTTTTTTAATGGAAACGCCCACAGCTGTTGTCAGATCTAGAGACACATCACGCTTTGCCCCAACCAAACCTCCCCTACAGCCCTCCCATGATGCATTGGGGTGTCAGGGGAGCTTGTAAGTAGCGCAGCACAGATGTGAAATGTTCCAGCTCAGAGGGCCCGGCATCGGGGCCGTGCAGAGTGCAGCATGTCCATGTCCCAGTTAATGTTCTCATTTCTCAATCGGAGGAGATCCATTTAACGGCATGAAGAAATGGAGCTTTTAAAAAACAAGTGTTTGAAGGCGCTAAGCTCCCGGTATAAATCCTCCACCCCTCCAATCTCTCCCTGACCGCTCCCAACCCGCCAATGAATCATCTGCGACCTCTCCGATGACCGCCATTTCATCGAGAGTGTGTTCTCTGAGAGTGTATCGGTGCAGAGTCTGTGTCAGCAGCAGCAGCAGCTCTCAGGCTTTCAACCTATGAATTATTCAATTAAATATTCCCGTTCTTTCATGGAACTTTCCTCAATCGTGTCTTTCAGAGGAGTCGTGAGTTGTCTTTTTCTGAAGACACCACTTTTTAACGGACCAGATGCAAACTTTAAAAGCTCTACTTCCAGCCTGGTGAGCAGATTCAGCAGCGCAGGATGAAAAGATGAGTAGAATGTTCAACACTGATGGGTACAGTGATGTGAGGCAACGTTTTCTGAACATTAGAAATGTTCAGTTAAAGTGATGAACGTGAATATGTGCATAATGTCTCCTTTACTGAAATTAAAAATTGTTCCTTATAACTTTTGTAGCTCCGTTAAAAAAAAGACAGCAAACTGTAAATGCAGCCGTCACCCGACGTAACTGTGTCCCATCACAGTAACGCAAGCTTTTTTCTCCTGGAAATATAATTTTTCCTTCCTCAAGGTCAAGTAAAGAGTTTATGTGTCTACGTGCCAACGCGAGGACAAAAGAAAAAAAAAACATTTCTCTCTTCTGAAGCACCTGATGTTTTTCACACTATCATTGACTTTGTGTTTGATTTGAAGGTCTGTGGAGGCTTCGGTAAACAAGTCCTATCCAAACACATCAGTTGTGTTTTATTGTTCCACCACTTACTTCATCACAGTGATAATGGCTGCAGTGATAGATAAAAACTGACAGTCGTCTCGTCCCACACACAGTCACAGGCTCTGCAACTGTAAAGTAATTCAGTATGTGAGAATTAATGAGCAAATTAAAGCACTTATTTTTAATTATATTATTAAATTATTATTTCATGCAGTCTTTCAAAGAAGTAACTGTAATTAGATCTATGGTGACGTCCACAAGAAAAGACTGATATGAAGTAATTCTGTCGTCCACATATGTTCACTCCTGTGACAAATACAGATTATTTTTATTTAAATCACAGCAGGTGTCATATTGTGTCTGTGTGTTTACTCTTAGTCTGTTTTGCTGTGTTAAATTTGATATAGTCCCCCTCACAGTTTCCAGGGAAGGTTTCGAGGGTTTAGTTCAATTTCAGCTCGTTGGTACCTGAGCAGACACAAACCCTCGTCTGCCCCCACCACGAACACCTTTTGCCCTTCACGTCTCTCGCCCTTTCATTCTTCTCCGTCCAGCACCATCATCATCCCGCCGTCTTTCTCCTCCTCTGCACTCGCTCTCTCTCGCCTCTTCTCCGGCTGTGCTAATTCCACGCCATGTCTGACTGGGTCTATTTCCCCCTGCTCCTCATAACAAGACCATGATGGACCTTATCATTCCTGTCACTCAAACTCCCTTACAGCCAGTCTCTGGTTTTTTTTCCCCCGCACTCAATTTCGCGGTCTTTCTCTGTGCCTGTCTGTATTTCTGTCCTCACCTCCGACTCACTCTCTCCATTTCCTTACCTCTCTCCTCAGTGATGAGCAGGAGAATATGTTTGCCTGCAATCCATCTGTCCCGCTGATAAAGACGTTAGGGGTGATGAGTGTAGCACCAGGCGCGGGGCAGCAGGGCCCCGTCAGTGCTGTTCTGTCTTCGGAGGGATGGCCAACGGGTGTCACGGATTACTCTGGGCCTTGCTTGATTGCTTCACTAGCTCGCACCGAGATACACACAGTGCTTACCCTGGGTGATGCGGTGGCCAAAAAATCTCATGTCACAAAGACGAAGGGATGGAAAAGGATTTGTGTGCCGTCTGTCAGGTTAGCAGAACACTGAGAGGGAGGGTTGTTCACATGTGTTTGTGTGTGTGAATGTGTGCATGTGTGAGTGCAGAGAATAGACACACAAATGATCCACTCAGAGTAAAATGTGCTGACAGACAGTCTGGGAGATTTATGTTATTCTTCAGATTTATGGATCAAAAATCATATTAAATCATAATAGAAATAAAAAAATATCACAAAAATCATTAATTTCTTCATTCGTCATTCTACATTTGTTAATTTATTCCATGAACCATAATTTGGTTGCAGTTTATCTCCAGGTCCAAACAACCACGCTGCTGCTGTAAAGAGGTAACCCATGAGGTCCACTTGTCTTTATGGAAGGGTATTGACTCAACAGCTCCTTCAATAAAGCCTGGAGAAGCACTAGAAGTAATCATGGAAGCTCACATGAAAAATCCAGTCCTATTGTCGCTGTCGTGCGCAGCTCAGAGGAATCTCGGCTGCCTGTCGTCACACAGATATGAAAAGAGAGAGAGAGGTTTACATTTTCTTAAAGGAGCTGCCTTCTGATTTTACATGTTCCACCTGTGGGATACAGAAAAAACATTAACTTGTTCAAACAGTGATCATAACTGGCTTTTTGGTGAAATGGGATTTTGGAGGTAACAATTCATATAAAAGTGTCATTACATAAGTTCATTAATCATATTTCATCTATTCAGTTCACATTAATCTTATGTACATTGCTTTCGATTCACATATTGACTTGGAGTAAAGCAAAAAAATAAATAAATAAGCACATGAAATGAATTTTTCTTGTCATCCATTATAAATCTTTGGTTACAACCCACTTCTTGAC